TGTAAAATATTTATATCCTACTAATGAGGAAAATTCAAAATTAAAATACTCTCTTCAAATTTCAAGTTTCTCTTCCCTCTTTTATAATATTAAAAATTCTGTATTCAGAATTCATAAGGATAACCTTATAACAGTCAATATAAAAATATTGCCAAAGAACATGGAATGGAAGTAAAAACAAATACTCCATATAATATGTGATTCTTATAGGTAGCAGAAGGACATGAGTAGTAGAAACTTGAAATTAAGGGGACAATTCCATAGACTAAGCCTATACTTTATAAAGCAATTTACTCAAGGTCATTCTGGCCCTGCTCTGGATTAAATCAGTAGGTTATGTTACCTTACTTGCAAACAACCCTTCTCCTCATTGCTTTTCTCTCTGGGTAGAAGAATGATCATCCAAAGATTCTTTCCATAAGAAAAACACAATTTACCTTGAAAGTGAACTATTGTGATCTTTACATAGAACAAAGATTCCAAGACTTAGGAAGATAAGATACTTAAAAACAAAGCCCAACAACCATAAAATCTGTACAAACAAGTTCCAATAACACTTGGTCAAAGTGATTAAGAGCTGCCTTTAGATCTTTAACATGCTATTTTAATTTCATTATAATAGTAAAATTCTCCATCCCCCTGGGTTTCTCTTGGGTATCTGTGGGTAAAATCATGTGCAGTAAGGACTGTGGGAGGCCAACCTTACACATGACTGAGTTACACTCCCTGGCTGGGTGCTGAGGCGCTCAGTTGCAGAAATGTGGCAGAACTTTTCTCACCCTTCTTGGGTGCAAGGGTTGGTGTCTCGTGCATGGGTGTCTTGCTACAGCCCCAAGGGTGAAGCTACGCTCACCTGTTCCTTTGTAATATAACCCTTTGCCCTGTTTAGGATAGAATCTTCCATGGAAGTGCCTTGTGTGTGTCCCATTCTCTTATTGTGCCCTTGGGTGTGGCCTACTCAGGTGTCAATCAATCTGCTGACAGTGAACATCATGAAGATACTCAGCCCCCTGAAACCTGACCCCTTGCCTCATTTAAATAACTTCTCCTCAATAAAATGGGTCAGCGAGTGCTCTTGCTCGCTCTTTCTGTGGACCCTTAAGGTCAGAGGAGCCCTTTCTGTGGACCCTTAAGGTCAGAGGAGCCGTCACAGTGACCCCAAAGAAAAAGGTATTTGTGTCTCTTGTGTGGTTATTTCGTGCAGCCCAGTTAGCCCAGTTAGCCCAGTTTATCTGGAGTGACCCCTGAGCCTTTTAGTTTCGAGAACTGAAACCCGGCAAAGGACTCAATAATCTGATGCAATCTGTCAATCAAAAGTTAAGAGGTGGCACCTGGGTGGAACACTCTAGAAACTTTCCTAAGACCCCCAAGTAGACTAGGGAATAAAGGGAGAGCAATCTTGCTCTCCTCTTTGAGATGACTAATCCTTTCCCTTGAGGGTTTTTTCCTTTCTTTCCTAATAAAATTTGCTGTTGTAATACATTTCATGTCTTGCTTAAAATCTTCTCATAAGAACATAGTAGTCAAAAATCAAAATGTAATCTCCTGGATTCCCCAGAATACCACCAGTAACAATTCCATAAAATTTTGTTCCAAATCATAAAAATAAGGTAATGTATAAAACAATCTTGTCTATTGTGATTTCTTACACTAAAATATAGCAAGTTTTAGTAACAGAACTTTAACCAGAACTCTAAAACACTCAGTATTTTCTGTTAAATATACAGTTAATATGAGATAAAAGAATTAAAAAAAAAGGTAGAAAGCAAACATAAAGAAAGTATAAGTAAATTGTTAGACCAGAAAGCAAGAAAAGACCACTGATTCCAATTAAAATCAAATTAAAGCAAACTTATTATTTCGACCGGCCGGCCTGCCTCTCCCTCCCAAAATGGCGGGAACAAGACAGCACCTCAGCTTTCCTGCAGCCCAGCTTTCCAGCCCAGAAAGTTACACAAAAGGGGGTTACAGATAACAGAACTCTGACAAGCATCACACTAATGGTAGTTTACATTTTTTTGCTGGCCCCAACATCAGAATTTATGAGGACCATTAGAGCCTCAGAGAAGGTCGTTATCTGACCAGGGAAGGCCAATATTTATGAGGCGTCACTAAAGTTTCAGAGAGGGCTGCTATCTGGTCAGAGAACCAGGCATGGGTGAGTTCAAGGCACGGGAAGGCATTCCAAGCAGGTTCAGAATTTGCAGTAATTTATAGTAAAGCCGAAATTATCTTTTCATGGCTTTGTGGCGAGATGACTCCCAATTTTAAGAAAAGATCATATTAGGTCTATCAAAATATAATCTTAAATATTCATATGCTTTTCCAGGTCTGTCACCGCCACATTTCTGGGAAGTCTTAAATCTACCTTGTGCATTGTTAACTAATGACCAATAAATAGTTAAGGCAGAGAAAGAGAGAGAGAGAGATGCATTTTGAGGAACCTGAAATTTAGGAGGCTTTACAGTATTATCCATTGATCAGATAATGAAGGTCATGTCAGTCTAATAATTCTGAGAATGACCAAATTACTACAAACCACCTTAAGATAACTAAAAAGATACTATCCTTACAGATTTCCCCATAACCACACCTCACCAATTTTCTTTTAAGTGGAGAGTTGGGAACCCCAAAGTATACTTCTCACTTTCAAAGATGGCCTGACTTCTCTCTTAAATGTGTATTCTTTGCTTTCCTAAATAAATACTGTCTATATTGACTGGCATGTGCTGCAGTTCTTCTCCAACACATAAGACAAGGATCCTTCTGGCCCTGAGTCAAGTTCCTCCATATCTCTGAGAAACCCTTGGACCCACTTCCAGAGATATCACTTCTGCTGTGACAAGATAGATTTGAACCAATGCCACGTACAGCTGGATCCTTATTAAAATATATTTTAACAGGGAGTGATCTCAAAGGAAGAAATACACTGGCAGTCTTCAAATTGGAATATGCATGCCCTGGGGTATACATGCCAGTTTTCTAAGGAACAAGGAGACTAGAATAATTTCAAAAGAATCAGTTTTCAGATCAACTTCCTAAAGGAGAAAAAAAATCCTCCAGTGGGGACTCTCCTTTCACATGGCAATTCACCAGTTTTACAAATGAAAAAGTAAGGTTCCCATTCATCCAAAATCATAAAGCAAATTGTACCAGGGTTTAGATACCTCCAGAAAATATAAATGAATACATATATATACATATATATATGTGTATATATAAGTATATATATATATACACACATAATATACACACACACATATATAAAATATACTTATATATAATATACATATATGTTATACATATGTATGTGTGTATATACAATCAAACTGGCTTCAATACTTCACATTTTACAAAATGAAAAATGGATTTAAACAGTGCTCATTCAATATATCATCAAAATAATGCTTAATGAGAGACCTGTATGTGATTTGGGACCATAATTCAGGAATTTAAAGTACCAATGAAAACACTATAATACATTCCCACCATTTCTGTGTGAAATACAATATTTACATATATAAAAATAAAATCTTCAAATAAAACTCAAACAGAACTGATGCTGAACTCTATCTTATCCAGCAATAAGTAATATTTATCCAGGGAATCTGAATTCATTTTTTTAAAGTATCATCTATTTCATTAGGAAAACATTAACTGATGGAGATCTGGCTCAGTGGTAGAGAGTTTGCCTAGCATGTGTGAGGCTCTGGGTTCAATCCCCAGCATCACAAAAGGAAAAAAAAAAAAGAAAAAGGAAGAAGAACATAATAAATGTGGACTTGCTGATCAGTATTTATAAAACTGTGTATCACTTTTGCACTAGTAATAATAGTAGTGATGAAGTCATTTCAAAAGAACTTATTGCTTTGGCCCATACTTGCCACATGTGGCTATGAGCACTTGAAATGTAGTTAGTTCAAACAGAAATGTGCTCTCTGTAAAATAACCAATTTCAAAGACTTGTAAAAAATAAGAATGTAAAATACCTCAGTAAACATTTTTATTTTGATCATATGTTGATATACAACTTTGAATAACATTTAATTAATTTCACCTGTTTCTATATTTTCCTGATGACTATTTAAATATTTTAAATTAATATGTATTCCATAATTGTTATGGTTTGGATATGTGGTATTCCCCCAAAACTCTTATATAAATACAAGAAAATTCAGATGTGAAATGAGTAGGTTATGAGAACCTTTAATCAGTGCATTAATCCACTTGGGAGGATTTAACTGGGTGGTGACTATATACATGTAGGGTATGGCTAGAGGATATAGACCACTGGGGGTATGCCTTCAGGGTATATATTTTGTTCCTGGTGAGTGGAGCTCTCTCTGCTTCTGGATTATTATGCCCTAAACTGTTTTTCTCCTTTGCATCCTTTTACCTTGATATTCTGCCTCATCTTGGTCACAGAGCAATAAAGTTGGAAGTCCATGAACTGAGACCTCTGAAACTGTGTGCACCAAATAAACTTTTCCCTCTCTAAAAGTGTTCTTGTCAGATCTTTTGGTCATAGCAGTAAAAAAGCTGACTAAAAAAAAATATTATATTTCTGTTGGACAGGTACAGTAAAATAATTTTAAATGTACATGTTTTGTTGCAGAAATGTATGAAGTGATTTTAATACAAGATTTTCAAGTACAGTAGTAGAGCACCTACTTAGCACAAAAAAAAAAAAAGAAAAAGTAAACAACAAAATTTTAAAAAGCCTGTGTCACTGGCTAATAGCACTCATATTCATACCTGGTAGATTTGTGTTCAAAAAATGTTAAAATTTTGTTTCCAATTATCTGTTAGGGTTAGGAAGCTGGAAAGAGTGTTATTTACACTGCATCATTCAGCTAATGTTTCCAGTCTTGTCTACAGTGGTTTTCAAGTTTCTTACGTTTGCAAACTCAATCTTACATTTCTTCCCATATACTTTCAAATAATTTTTTTAACATACAGATATGAAACAATTGTTAATCAAGGAAATAAAAGCACACTACCTGGCCAAGCACATTGTAGCAGTGCTAATGATTTGCCTCCAGGAGCAGCACATAGATCTAGAGCCTTCTCCCCATCCCGTAATTCCAGAGCTAGTACTGGGAGAAGAGAAGCAGCATTCAGGAGATAGTATTTTTTCAGGTTACCAAACTGGTGTCTTTCTGAAGGCAAACGGTCTGTAGTTCTGCTGAGGTAACACTTTAGTGATTTAGGACAATAGGGTAAAGATCCTTGAAAGAGTTGGTGATAGCCCTTCAAATATAAATCCATTTCCAGTTCAAAAGGATAATTGAATCGGTTGAGGAGGACAGCATATTGCCACAATGATGGAGATATCAATACATCCCTAGAAACAGAAAACAAAAGATTGTTAATATGAAACACATAAATACCATTTTATATTATCAATGGGGTGACCATTGTTCTAAGTTTATACTTATCTCTGATTTTCAGAGACAGGATCAGTCTTTCTGGCTTTTCCTTTTGCCTCATAAAGACCTGATATGATTCCATCAGCTCATATTATGAACCTATCTTTATTTAAAGTTTTTATTTTTACTGTAGCTTTTTTTTTTTTAATTAATTTTGATCATTAAAATACAATACTGAGGGCTGGGGATGTGGCTCAAGCGGTGGCGCGCTCGCCTGGCATGCGTGCGGCCCGGGTTCGATCCTCAGCACCACATCCCAGCAAAGATGTTGTGTCCGCCGAGAACTAAAAAATAAATATTAAAAATTCTCTCTCTCTCTCTCTCTCCCCTCTCTCACTCTCTCTAAAAAAAAAAAAAAAAAAAAAAAAAAAAAGAAAAAGAAAAAAAAAATACAATACTGAGTTTTTTGTGCCCCCCTTAAGTTCTACACAAGGGAAGTATAGTTTTAACTTTCCCTACAGAATATCTTGCCAAAAAAATATGGCCTGCCTTTACAGGCAATGATAGTAAAAAATCTATTTTGCATTTAGTCAAAATAGATTTCTGACTATCACTACGTGCACAAGAAAGTGTTTCACTTAGAGACAAAATTTAAAACAAGAGATTGTTAATATTGAAGGGAAAGGTACCATCAAAAAATATGTTTAAAGAAATTAGTATTAAAGTTTTATATGATTAGGATAAAAGGTGTGAAAACCTAATTGCAGTGAACTCTACAGGAATGGAGTTAATGAGGTGATGAGTGGCTCAGAAGATTCAGATCCAAAGATGATTTAAAATTCACTCACGGACTGATGGTGCAAGCTTTTCCCCCAGTATCTTTACTTTCTTGAATTTGTATTTGGCCCAACAAGTAGATCTCTTGACAATCACAATCTCACATCAACTGATAGATGATATAACAATAAATAATTAATTTACTAGATGACCTTTCTGAGTTATTTGGGAGCCTCATTAAACATGGTCAATTAAATAAATTCCAGCTGCTACTCACCCTGGAGTTGACTATATGAGGAATGGTTGGATTGAAATCTAACACCTGCGACTCAAGCATGCCAGGTGAATTTCAATGTAGGCCTTTTATATGGAACTGCTTTCTATTTTCAGTGCCTCGTATTTGTCATGGATGGTATACAACTGAATCCTGGCATATCTGTTTCAGCTGTTTTGGAAGATGACCATCTCCTACTTAAGAAAGGGATTTGCAAAGTTCACTGTGCACCAAGAGTTTGATTTAAAAAAAAAAAAGACCACTGAGCCCAACCTGGATTCAGTAGGTCTGAGACAAGACCTGAAATCTCCATTTCTAACAAATTTGCATTTCTAACAAGTGTTTGGGTAAAACTGATGCCCTTGATCCTCAGAATCACAGTTGGGTAACTACTGCTTTAAAATAGAATCCAAAAGGATATCTGTGAATATAACTGTTGTAAATCTTATTAAAGTCCATCCTTAATCTTACCCTTCATGCTGGATGAAAATATACCCAGTCTGAATCACTTGTAACAGAGAAATAGTCAGAACCAATTTAATGTATACAGATTGGAATGACTTGGCTTAAGTCATGCGCCTACCTCTTAGCTAACAAAAGGCGGGACACTCTTAACTGATTAATATCAGATAAGGCAAATCTCTATTTATTATTCTTTTTTCTTCAAAACGTTCAAATCAACTCATGGATATATATTCTTTCAATATAATTTTAAAATCAATTGTTCAGTTAATAGTAACTTTGACTAGGATTACATTAAATGCATTAGATTTGGAGAGAATTAACACGTTAGGCTTTATTCAAGCCAGCTTGATTTTATATCATATTTCTGCTTGCTAGCAACACAACCTTGGGTAAGTTGCATTTAGTATTTAATCTTTCCAACCCTGAACAAAATTTCTTCACTTATTCACATTTTATTTCAGATAAAAGTAAAAGTTATTAATTCTGAATATTTCCTTTTGAACATATTAAGAGGACTGTTGGTTTAGAAACACTATTGACTTTTGTATATTATCTAGTACATTAATTGGAAGAAATGAGAAAGAAAGTTGCAGGGCAATACAACAACATAGGTATGACAGAGAATAGTGCATTTGGGGAATCAGAAGCCTAATATGGCAGAAAATTATATGGACCAAGTAGCATGGGATAGCATTTTTAAATTTTATGTTGTGAATGATGCGAAGTCACTAGAAGATAGGAGAAGTTGGTCAGATTTTAAAACTGTACTATGGCAGTGAAGTAAAATTTTCAAAAATTATCCTCATTCATGACAAAACTAAGCCTTGACTAAAACAAAATTCTGATCCCTGATGACTTACACCAACAGAACTATTTTAGCTTTTTGGAACAAGATTCTTTAGCTTTTACCAAACTCAGTATATACTGTTCCCTCCACCTATGATCCTTCCTCCCTCATCTACCTGTTCTCTCCTCAGGGAACTTTATCTCCAAGGAAGTCTTTTCACCTAACATCCAATTCATCTGCTCCACTTTGCCCTGATCATATTATTAATCAAAGTTATTGATCAGATACTTAAATGTACATTTTGCAATTTTACCTCAAATAACCATCACAATATTGAGACTTTCAGTGATAAGGCTACTTACCCAAGTGGTGTTGTTAGCAAGCAGAAATATGATATAAAATCAAGCTGGCTTGAATAAAAGCCTTGAGCTCCTTGAATTCGACCTATTGTCTACAACAATGGGAATAGCTTACTACAACCTGCCCCTAGCACCAGCTGTCTCAGGACCATCTCAATGAAAGACTACAGAAGCTATCCAGGATGGTGCTTCCTATGCCTGAGAAAGCACACATCTGTGTTAAAATGGGTCTCACAGCTCTCCACGCACCCACTTGCTGTGGTCCTACCTCTATCGCCGCATAATACAGACTCACCCTGTCATGCTTGTCCTAGGTGGGCTACTAACCTGAATCTGGAAGAGCAGTTACTACTTGGCAGGCAGAGGTTGAGGCTCAGGCCCGGGAAACAATATATGGGGATCCAGAAGTTGAGAGAAGATGTGATACATGGTGGGAATATTGGTCATCTTTTATTTGGAGGTTGGTAACAGCCTCTCTAGACTGCCACCAGCCAGTTCCATTTAGCCTCCTGGGTTTTTTCCATAGGCCCTTCAATATGCAGGCCAAAGAAAGAAGGGACACTACCAACAGGTTATATCAGTGGGCATATGCTCACAAGGAAGTATTTATGACCTTGAGTACTTACATTGAAACAGTATTAATGACCTTACTACATACTGACCAGATTCTTCGCCGTGGTTACACATACAAAAAAAAAAAAAAAAAAACATAACAAAGCCTACCAGAAGACTCAGTGAGGGAACCTAAATAGATAATCATTTTGGGCCTGCCCCAACACTACTCTACCCCAAAGTTTTTATGTATAGCAAAGTAGCATTAGAAGACTCTAGAAGACAGCAGTCAGGTACTACATGCCACAGCTTTTCTTAAGATTCCTGATTGTGGAGTCTGAAGCTGCTCTATTTACTGATCTCCAAAGTTAGAAGATCAAGTACATCGGCAGCCAGCAGATTTGGGACCCACAAGATCAGTGATCTAAAAATATTTTGTTAGTACAGTCATCAACTGATTTTGAAAAACTATACACAGTTGACATAAAACACTTCACCATATGCTTATGGGTGCAAATTCTATATATTGAAAAAATAACCAACATTTTAAAATACAAATTAAACCACTATTTTGTAGGGATATATGGTGCTGGGGATTGAACCCAGGGCTTCTCACATGCTAAACAAGTGCTCTACCACTATACTTATGCCACCTTTTAAAATGTATCCAGTGAGCTAGGGATGTGTAGCTCATCAGTTCAGTACTTGCAGAATGTATAGGAGGCACTAGGTTGGATTACCCACACCGAAAACATGAAAATGTCAAAAATATATGTCTGTGGAACCTAAACATTAGAGTGATTTTGATAACTATTAGTGATGGGAGCTATGACTGAATTATGGATTTCTCTGAGCCATCTCAAGGCAAAGGTGTTGCTCTTCTGAGAATTCTCAGTGATTCCCAATGATTAGCTCAGTAACCTGCTGACATCCTGCTCAAAGAGGAGTCTGTGTTCCATGGAATTAATTTATTGGTTCAAACAGCCCCAGGTTCTAATGCAGCTGTTTGGAGGTGGAAGAGATATCAGTGTGACTAAATAGCCTTGAAGCCCTAAATGCCAGGGAGGAGGAAGAAATACTGAGCAAGTTGATAAGCCTCCAATTAGGCTATTTTCCCCACAGCTTCACTTGTTTACCTTGAAGTTTTTTCTCACAATAAATCCCTTTGATGTTCTTGCCTATAAAATAAAGCACAGAGGCTCTCAATCATTGTTAGAGGTCAGAACCTACCATGACTGACTCGCCCACTGAGTCCCGCTATCTACTTATAATTGAGTCTTTTATTTCTTGCATTTCTTATTTCTAATCCCTTCATAGCCCAAACTTGGGAAAATTGAGTAAGTTACACAGGTTGTGTTCATTTAAAATTCATACACTAACTCTTCTTTAACAGGCACAAGTTTTATATTCTTATTTTTCCCTTTTATTTACATTCCACTTCTCCATGTAACTTTATCCTAATATATTTTTATGCATGAAAACTTTTGTTTTAAATCACTGTATCATACTTTTTTGGAACACACAGACACATACATATTAAATTTCTCTGTGGTATTCAAATAACTTTGGGATTCAGCTGTCAAAAATATTATTAGTATAAAATCGGCCAAAATAACTTATAATTTTGATACTTATTAAACATAAGAAGTAAAAATTAATAGGAACTATAATGAAATGAGCTTTTGTTTTCATATACCTATAGATGAATATTACTTCTTGCTAGGATAAGTCAGAGTTCAATATAGTTTTATTCTTATTTTG